AGAGAGAGAGGGGAGAGGAAAGGGAAAGGAAAGAGAGAGAGAGAGAGAAAGAGGAAAGAGAGGGAGAGGAAAGAGGCATAAAATAATTCATTTACATTTAATTGTAATGGTTCAAAGAATGTTCGGAAAAATGTTCGGCCCTCCAGCACGTTCACTTCATCCAATCTGGCCCTCTTTGAAAAAAGTTTGGACACCCCTGGTATAGGGTTTCCTGCCTGAGCAGGGGGTTGGACTAGATGATCTCCGAGGTCCCTTCCAATTTTATTATTATTATTATTATAACTACATGTAGTCCTCGATTTACAGTAATTCATTTAGTGACCGAGATTACAACGGCGCTGAAAAAAAGTGACACATGACCGTTTTTCACACTTATGACCTTTGCAGCACCCCCCTTGGTCACGTGATCAAAATCCAGAACGTTTGGCAACTGACCTCACACTTAGGATGGTCGCAGTGTCCCGGGGTCACGGGATCCCCTTTTGCAAAGTCAACGGAGGGAAGCCGGATTCACTTAACAACCGTGTCGCTAGTTTAACAAGTGCAGTGATTCACTTAACACCTGTGGAAAGAAAGGTCGTAAAATGGGGCAAAACACACTTCACAACAGTCTTGCTTAGCCACAGAATATTTGGACCCGATTGTGGTCATACGTTGAGGACTACCTGTACTACATCAAGACCTATTGTCCAAAGCAACTGAGGGCAGGACAAGAAGCAATGAGCGGAAGATCATTAAAAGAGAGTTACTTGAGTTGCTGTTTTTAAGTAACACAGCTACTCAAAAACAGTTAACTGTGAAAGGGGATCTCGGAGTCCCCGTGGACGATCCCTTAAACAGGAGCCAGCCGTGTGCGGCAGCAGCCAAAAAGGCCAACACAATGCTGGGCTGCATTAACAGAGGGACAGAATCAAGATGACGTGAAGTATTAGTACCGCTTTATAAAGCCTTAATAAGGCCATACCTGGAATCCTGCATTCAGTTTTGGTCCCAACATTCCAAAAAAGTGGTTGAGACTTTGGAAAAAGTGTAAAGAAGAGTAACCAATCTAGAGAAAAGGAGGACTAGGGCAGTGATGGCGAACCTTTTAGAGACCGAGTGCCCCAAAACTGGCCCTGCCCCTGCTCTACCCCCATCCCCCGCCCCGCCTGCCCACAGGACCACTCACCACCTCCAGGGCCCGTCGCAGATTGCCCAGGTAGCCCAGCAGCACTATGGCGGCCACACCCCTGCAGCATCAACTGCATGATGGGGCGTGAGGGCAGAGTCTTGTCTACGCTGCCTGGCTGCCATGTCCTTGGCTGCGCTGCTCCGTGTGGGTCACGCTCGGGGGTGACTCTCCTTCAGGGGGGCTGCTGGAGAGGAGGGGGCCGCAGGGGGAGGCAAGGCTGGGGCAAAGGCATGTGTGCCCACAGAGAGGGCTCCGAGTGCCGCCTCTGGCACCCGTGCCATAGGTTCACCACCACCCGACTAGGGGGAGGAACGTGATAGCAGTATTCCAGTATCTCAGGGGCTGCCCCAAAGAAGAGGGAGTCAAGCTATTCTCCAAAGCCCCTGAAGGCAAGACAAGAAGCAACGGATGGAAACTAATCAAGGAGAGAAGCAACCTAGAACTAAGGAGAAACTTCGTGACAGTTAGAATAATTAACCAGTGGAACAACCTGCCTCCAGAAGTGGTGAATGGTCCAACACTGGAAGTTTTTAAGAGACTGGATAGCCATTTGATCTGAAATGGTCTAGGGGTTCCTGCTTAAGCAGGGGGTTGGACTAGAAGACCTCCAAGGTCCCTTCCAATTGTGTTATTCTATTAATTAACCAGTGGAACAACTTGCCTCCAGAAGTTGTGGGTGCTCCATCACTGGAGGTTTCTAAGAAGAGACTAGACAGCCACTTGTCTGAAATGGTCTAGGCCAGGAGTAGGCAACCTTGGCTCTTTTATAACTCGTGGACTTCAACTCCCAGAATTCCTGAGCCAGCCACGCTGAGGGGAAAGGGAGAGGTTTCCAAGCTGAGCCATGCTGGCTCAGGAATTCTGGGAGTTGAAGTCCGCAAGTCATGAAGGGGCCAAGGTTGCCTACCCCGGGTCTAGGGGCTCCTGCTTAAGCAGGGGGTTGGACTAGAAGACCTCCAAGGTCCCTTCCAGCTCCATTCTATTCTGAGAGATCTAACCTGGACATGAGGGATTTCCTGATAGCAAGAACAATTAATCACGGTTAGCAATTCCCGGCGGGCTATACCAAAGGCTTGTAACGGTTATGTTCAGCAAACCATTCGCGACTTTTATCGGCCACCACTGCCTGCAGGGAAAGAAAGAAGACATATGCCAACATTTTTATAGGTTTTTTTTTTTAATTCCACAGATTTCACATTTGACATTTTGTAGGCCGTCTGGTCAGCAGTTTTTCCTCTCCTGTTAACCTCTAAACCAGGTTTAGCGTTGGTGACGTCTTTGAGCTGCCTGTATTGTTCGTAAATCTTGAGTTGGATGGAATATATGCAATAATATTTGGGGTGGAGGGGAAGTGGAAAAAAAGCCCAAAGGGGGGGCAAGGTTGGCCCCCAAAAAGTCACAATGGCAAGTTATAAATCTGCCATCCACGTTTTGCGCGGCTGAAAGTACAGCACGCTGAATCTCTGTGCCTGCCACCAAAACGTGGCACAGTCTGCACGTTAAGCCGGGCGGAATACAAACTTGCTAGAATTAAATCAAAGGTTTGGGGGGAAAAAACAACACCAAAATAACAACAACAAGAAAAAAAAATCTCCGTTTTAACACACAGGCTAAAGATCTTCCTGCAATCGGTTCCGAGTAATTTCCCAGCCCAAAGTTCGACGGGTGCTTTTTCAGCGGAATGAGAAAAGAAAAGTGTGCAGAAAAAAAACACAAGACAGGTCGTCACCACAATTGGTGCGAGGTTCGGGTTCCGCTAGCTGGAACACACAATCGCCTCCTCACTCACTGCAAAACACTACAGGACCCAGAAGAGGCAGAGAAAAGAAAAGAAAAAAAATAATAATCTGGCAGTACCGCAGAGATGGGATTTAAGCTTCCTGTTTTCCAGGCTCAGAGGGAGTCGTGGGTTAGCAAACCCCGGTGGGTTATGCCGAAGGCTTGGAGCGGTTATGTTTGGCAAACCACTCGTGGCTTTTATCGGCCGCCATTGCCTGCAAGGAAGTAAAACAAAATGCAGATAGTCCTCGGCTTGCAATAATTCATTTAGTGACTGTTGGAAGTTAAAAGGGGTCCTTGGTGCTCTCTGAGCTTGCTGGTTTTCTCGCAGACGTTTCATGACCAACTAGGTAACATCATCAGTGCTAGAAGGAGTGGGGTTTGCAGGGAGGAGGAGGAGGGGGGGGAGACTGTGGGACCCTTGGTGCTCTCTGAGCCTGGTTGTTTTCTTGCAGACGTTTCATGACCAACTAAGTAACATCATCAGTGTTAGAAGGAGTGGGGTGTGCAGGGAGGAGGAGGAGGAGGAGGAGGAGGAGGAGGAGGAGGAAGGGGGAGAGACTGGGATCCTTGGTG